ACATATCAGTAAGTTCTAATTGATTGTTATAACGTTTTTCTTTAACTTCTTTAACTTTTTTCTTTGATTTTTTATGTCCCTAGTAAAAAAAGTATAATAAAACTATACTTAATTTTGAACTAACAATTCTTTTAATAAAAAAATTTATATTTAATATATTGCAAGTTTTTAAACAAAAAAAGAAAAGAAATATTACTTTTTCCTTTTTCTTTCCTTTAGATTCAGTAGTTTCTTGAATTAAATTATTTTCAATAACTCTATGTTCTAATACAGGTAACCTTTCATCTTCTCTTAAAGGTAGATCTAAATCAATATTTAAAGCTCTGTGTGGATCATTTACATCCACATGATCATATTCATCACTATCACTTAGTTCTGCACCTGGTGGTAATTCACCAATCCCAGTATTCACAACTTGAACAGGATAAACATCATCTTGTTCATCTTCTGAAATGGGCTTTTCACCTAAAAATTATAATATTTATAATTTTACGTAATAGTTATGATGAATTGCACATACATGTAAGATTTAAACATACGTTTCTTAGTCTTCTTGTTTTTCTTGCCATGTATTTTATATCTTTTACGATTATTCGTAACTTTTAAAGAAACAGGAATATCTAACTCTGTTATGGGAATGTTTTCGAACTCTTCATAAATATTTGATGAGTTATGATATGATGTGGAATTTTTGAATGTGCCTTTTAGGTAATGTGGATTATTTTGTTGTTCTAATTTTCTAGCTTCACGTCGCTTCTGAAGTTCTTCTGCTGATGGTTCGTTAAATTCTTGTTTAGAATAGGAATCATTAACTTTCTCTGTTTTAATGAAAATATCATTCATATCTAAATCTTCTGAATCTGAACTTTCTGATGGCGGATCATTAATCCATGAATCTAAATCCAGGTCCTCTGGAATTGGTACCTAAACGAAACAAAATAATATATGTAAATAATTTTATAACATTTTTTACTACTACAATAAAATAGACAAACGTTATAATACTAATCTCAACTTTATATTCAATATATAAAAGAAATGAAAAAACCATAAAAAATCGAAACTTAGAGTTTGTAGAATGTATCTTTTAACAAAAGTGAAAAAAAATCTTCAATAATAAAATTATATAAAATCATATATATAAAAACATATATAAATAATTATTACCTTCCTTTGTGCTTTTGGAGCAACAGGATTAAGCTCCCCTTCAAATGCTTCCATTAATTCTTCTGCTAAACCAGGACTTTCTTTTAAACATTCAAATAAAACTAAAACAGAACTAGATCTTTCTTGAACTTCTAAATCTCCACTACATACGAACGCAGCTATTTTATCTTTCAATGCAAAAATCTACAAAATACAATAAAATTTATGTATAATTTTAAATTAAATATTCAATATAAAACATCAATAATTATATAAATAATAATCATATGATGTATAGCAAATACAATAATATATTTTTATTTCATATAATAAAATATTACTGAACCTATCTTATGTAAATAATGTATATACAAAAAGAATACTATATAAAAAAAATCATAAATGTGTTATAATAAAAATTAATTTTAAAAAATTATTATTATTGCAGAATATTTCAAAAAGAAAATATAGTATAACATACTTGTTCCATAGTCTCTGTATCTCCATCTTTTTCAGCCTTATATAATGTTGCAGTTGCAAGTTTTAAAATATTATGAACATAAACGGCTTGAATATGTCCTGGTAAACTGGAAGCTTGTGATCTTAACATTGATTGCAATGTTGTTATAGGATCCTCTAGTTCGCTATTAATGTAATGTATTATCAATTACACTTTAATAAATCAAATTGATATGTGTAAAAAACTGTAGAATACCTAGAAAATTCTCCACAAATCCAGGCAGCAGCATATAAAACTTCAGACATTGTTGCTCTTGGTTGACCTGTTAAAAGGTATGAATTTTCTAACAATAAGGCACATTGTTGAACTGCATATTTTCGTATAGCTTGGACACGAATTGCTACATCAAGTAATTGAGTTGCTACTAATGGTCCATGTTTGGTACCTTCCATTTTTGTAAGTTCAACCAATACAGATATGTACCTATAAATTTGAATAAATATTATTCAAAAACACAATATATTATATTTTAACAAATGTAAATTTAGTGATCACTTACCATTCGAAATAAGTAACAAATTGGTAATTATTTTGTGAACAAATCTGAATAATTTTTGAGAGTAATTCATCTCTATAAGCAGTGCCTTCAGCTTTATCCATGTGCACCATTAACTTTTTAACTATTTCCATTAAATTCTTTTTCGAAACCATTCCATATAGTAAATCCAAGGCACGCAATCTTATACTTTCATCTTTATCATCCAAGCATTTCATTATAAGATCTTTATGGGCTTGTACACTTTTTGGATGAGTTTTCAAAATTTTTGACATTGCTAACAGTCCCAAATACTTCAAATTTTGATCAGAATCTTCTATCAATATTCTCAATTTTTGAACACATAACTGTATTGAATCAGAATGGTTTGGCATACCAGATGAAATTGAAATTAATACAGCTATTACTGTATTTATACATTCATACAGTAAAGACATTGCAGATGTACTAAAAATCAATAAAATATTATAATTAATATAAAATTATAATGACTGTATAATTAATTAATCATTTAAAAAATTAAATAAAATTACATAATTTATTGTTTAGCAGAAACTTGAAAGAAAACAAAAAGCTAAATAGATTTTCCACATTAAAATCAGCAAAATATTGAACTACTTTACAAGCAGTAAATAAATTTGCAAACAAATATATTGCTTTACATATAGACGAAAATACATGAAATACCTGTGTATCAAATTTGTAAGGGGTTCTATTAATTTTTTGCCAAGCCTAGGTTCTAGAGGTGTCAATGCGCCAAACTGGAAATATAATTGCAATCTAAGAAATATAATGATATTTGACAGATGAATGTTTCTAACCATAATTTACACATTACAACATATAATATACCATTCATGGATATATATTAGAAATAAATACAAGCTATTAATGCATACTACAACTAATATTTATAGTTTACTATATTTTGATAACAAAAAAAAAAAAAAAAAATAATCAACTAATATGAAAACCTTGAAATCAGGTCAATTAGTGGTTGAGTAAGTCGCCGACCCATTTTCGGCTCAATCAGTGTTATAGTGGAGAACTGAGCATGTGAAACAAGACCAATATTATTTGGCTCATGTTAAACATGTGTGTATGCATGTATATGTATGGATACAAATATTCATTAATTATAACAATGAGCCTACATCTCCATTAATCTGTTTCACTTCGTTAACATAAGATTAAAAGCAAATATTCACTTACCAATTTAATAATTTTTATCAGCATCCAATTGTTGGTAGATGTAGTCATAAGTTTAAAAAAGACAGGTGCTAAACTTAAATAATTTTTTGGATTTTTCCTGGCTAATTCACAAACTACATTAACAGCAGCACTTTGCACACCACTATCAGGATCTTCCAATTTTTCTTTTAATCTAGGAAATGCAGGCCTCAAGGCCTCTGGAAATCGCAAGAAAACTTTATACATCATTAGTACAGCTTTCTTGCGTAAATATGGCTTTGTAGATGTTAATAAAGTCATTATATCATTAACTAAATCTCGTGCAAGATCTGAACTTATGAAACAAGAGAGGCCACTCAGTGCCAAACCAGCATCATACTGATTTTGACTATTTAAATCTTTACGAATCATATTGGTTGTTAACATCAAAAGCTAAAAAGAAACAACAATTTGTATTTGTTAAATGAATGTTGATTGAATTATATAGAATTTATAACGTTCAGAAATCTGACAAATTTTCTTTATTTATCACAACAGAACTTGCAAACTAACTTAATACTTACATATAACATAGATGTTCATTCAGTGAAAATAAAATATTCACTGAATACAATATTGATCAAAAGAAATAATTTAATTAATTAATTTAACAACCATGTTATGAAAACTTTTAATACATATTTTATCATAAAAATTATAAAAAAAGCCAATTTGCAAAATAAAATTTACGTATCATACAATAGAGTATTTAGAATGTTTATCAGATTTCTTTAAAACTTAAATTGCGTCTCAATTTTGAAATACTTCATACTTCTGTATCTGCATGAAAACTTTGACTTGCCGCCAAATATCCAATTCGTTTATACGTAAACTTTGCAGATGACATCACTTCAATTATGTTGAAACCAGCCCAGCTAATGTCATATCCGAACATTTCAAGCTAAAAAAATTAAAACATACAACATTAATGATATCAAAAATGTATCTAATAACAAATTTAAATAAATTCAACCTACATATGTTAGCTTTGCCACAGCGTTTGCTTTGACAGCTACATTGTCTTGACGCAATTCTTGTTTAATTTCTTCTATACACTGTGCAATGTATTTTGCCTACAACGAACACGTATTTAGATAAAAATTTGCGTTAATTCGAATAAGCTTTTGGCTCATGTAATAAATGATTTAAAGTAATATACAAGATGTAACTATAAATTTACCTCATTTTCTTTATTGTTCCTAATCCCACGTACTAAATCGGTGAGGTTCTTATCGAACATACGTTCAAGATTTCCTTTTACTTTACGTAGGGCCATTGTGCCATTTAAAAAATAAAGGATATATCACTTAAAGACTCTGTTTCTGTATTCGTTCAATATCCCAGCTTAATCGGATTACTTGGTCCGATTGCATTACCGTATGTTAGAAACCTTAAACTTCAATTACAGTCTTACCACAAACGAGGCATAGGATAGACCCATCACTTTATGGAATTTGCTGTCATATGTTCTGAATTACCGACCGTGTAAAAAAATTGGAAGTTTTGTTACGCCACAGACGAGGGATATGAATAGATGTATCATACAATATATTTTTTCGGGCAACGATTTCAGGGTCAGCCGACCCCATTACTATTTTCGTATCACATCCTGTCGTACCGATTTAGGTAAGTATTGTACCGCGAAAATCAAAAAGTATAGATAATGTTATCAGATTTATTTCGAGAATTATTCACTGAAATGAACGTGGTGTTGGTGGTGAATCGTTACATTCCTTCACAAATGAAAACTGTGATAAAAAATTTAGTATATATTTAACTATTCAATTGCAATTCAATTCAATTTGCATGTCTTCTTCTAGAAGAGAGAATCGTCACATCTTCTGAATAAGAATTGTTGAGATGTTCAAACACTTCTTCTGATGAAGATTTTTATCTTAAGTTCTGTAAAAAAAAAGAAATTCATCTTTATTAGAGTTGGTATGTTCCTTGTGTGCTTCTAGGATTTTGGGATTATTGCACGTATCTAATAGGGACTCTAGGCAACTTTGAAAATTCACTGAGTGATTCTGTGTAGGATCCTAGATTTAATCCTTGACAGACAGCAGTAGTAAGGAGATTTCTTCTAAGGAAATCTCTGCACTATTAACTATTTCGCGTTTCTTGGTGTCTTTGGTAGAAACAACTGCTTTATGTCTACTATTATCTTTTACAGCATTCAAAGAAAAGTTGTTAGCAGACCTGAAGTCAATAAGCTATCTCTTGATGGTGGCAAGAGCACAGATTCTGATATTTTCAGCTTGCAGTTTATGTATCTGAGATAATGATATAGCAAAAATCTGAAATGAAGATAACTCAGGAAAAGATTTTGGCTGTTCACCTTATCCAACTGGATCATAACTTTGTTCTAACATGAGCTAGAGTTGTGCAGTGGCTGAAGATCAAAGTTTTTGCAGAATTTAGCCATATGACCCTATTTCCTGCATTACAAGCAAGCTACTTTTCTTCTGAGAGATATATCCAATAAGATGTATTATCTTAATTTATTTGGATGGATTTAGCTATGTTTAGAATGTCTTTGGATTTGGATTTGACATCTAACAATGAAAGCTCAGGATGTGTGCGTATCCTGAATTATTTATCCTGCCCCAATGAAGATGATTTGGGAGATGGGTCTCATATTGTGTCAGCAAACTCTTTAAAAATGATTCAGTGCATAATTATAAGTCATACATTGGACAGTATTAATCGTTTGGATTTAAAAATGAGTGGTTGAATTTTCATATAGTAAGATTTGATCTTTACTTTTGTATAATTGTCAGTTATCCTGTCAGCTTTGTGCTTACTATTCCAATATAAGCAAACTCTAAGCCTTGAGAAATTCTAGATATAAATCTGATGTTCCACAGGCCAATAAGTTTGCCAATTTGAACAATGTATTCTTGAATCGCAGTACCTCCGATGGAGTTTAATATGATTGCTTGTACATGGAACTGTGATTGCTGAGCAGCGTGAACATATGAGGCTTTGGAAGAAACATTCTGAAAGGAGAAATTCCTGGTTTAAGGAAAAATACGTCAAGATTATATACCCCTGTAATGAGAAATATTTGAAGAAGGATAAGAGTAAATTAGGGATTAACTAGGAGCAGATTTTGCTTCCAGTAAGGTACAGAGAGATACAAAGAAGCACAAAGGAACAGAAAATATTTACATAAGCACTCGTTAGCACTTCCACCCTAAATTATCTTATGTGGTAAATGACAAAATTTGGAAATCCTCATTAATTCATCTTGAGACGTAAATGGAACATACAGAAAAACCTAAGAGTCTTAAACGGACGATGTAATTTCAAAAATTGACAAATTATTCCTCTGAATTAGAATTTTTTAAGAATTAGTGCAAATTGACTCGGTTTTTACATGGTGGCGCCATCGGTAACTTAGAGGTACCAATTACTTTCAAACATGATTATTTACGCATTTTAGGCTTCAAACGGAGTATAAAAAAAAGCTGGGGACCTAATTAACGAGATAAAATTACAAAAGTTTGCAATTTAGTACTCTAAACCAATTTGTATATGCTTGTCCTTGTCTGCTACTGTTGCTCTCCTTGTTTACCGCGCGTTGTCGCATGCTGATGCTCTCCTTGTCTACCACGCACATATATCTGTCCTTGTCGCTCGCTGTTGCTCTCCTTGTCTACCACGCACATTTCTTTGTCCTCGTCTCACGCTGAGGCTCTCCTTGTCTACCACACACATATCTCTGTCCTTGTCGCTCGCTGTTGCTCTCCTTGTCTACCACGCACATATCTTCGTCCTTGTCTCACGCTGAGTCTCTCCTTGTCTACCACGCACATATCTCTGTCCTTGTCGCACGCTGGTGCTCTCCTTGTCTAATAACGCTAGACAAGGAGAGCAATAGTGTGCGAGAAGGACATCCTTCGATCTATTGAAAAAAATATTCAACTTTTTATACACACGTTTTTCTAGGACCAAACACACATAGAATGAAAGCGAGGAGCCTAATTTTAGGGAGGCATATAAAAAACTTCGCAAATTATTCCAATCAGGTTTTTTTTGTAATAAGTGCAAACTGTCACAAAAATAGACATGGTGGCGCCATCTAGCGGTATGTCGATAGTACTAATTGTTTACACAAATACTTATTTCTGTATTTTACGGGTCAAATG